AGGTTGTAGGATGATTAAAGTGGTTTTGCTTTGAAGCTGCTTTCAATTAAAATAGATCAATTGAGTCACTTGCCGGAGCTGCAGTCAGCATGTATTTAACTTACTTGTGTGTGAGTGTGTGGCTGAGTGTGGTGTGTGTGTGTGTGTATGTGTGTGAGTTTAGAGTAAAGGTTCAGATTGGTTTAGAAACTTTTTCGATTTGCCTTTAATGATGGAAATGAACACTGAACAATGAAAACCAAATCAAAATCATAACAATCAAGAACTGCTGTTCCTGTGCGACAACAGCAGTTCGTGGCCCTGCTGGCAGCACATTTGGATAATAGATGAATAATAATAAAAAATAATAATAATAATAATAACAATGGCTAAATAAATACAGTTTTAATAAGCAGGCTTCAGTTCTTTTCTGTAGTAGCATTACAAAAAGTTACACTCCAATTTTATAACATAAACATTAAAACATAATAACATTAAATTAAAGCTCCTCAAAACCTGTAAACATCGACACAAAAGTCCTTAATAAATACATAAATTTAATCTAAATAGAATTAATAAATTAAAACTATATGCTTTATTTGATTAAATGGTAAACTTCCCTGGTCTGCTCAGGGTGGGCGTGGCCTCGTTGCCATATCTTGGGCGTTTTCGGTCTGTGTCTTCAGTGGCGCCTTTAACCACGCGTGAAACAGGTGCGCGTGATCGTGCAGGGGGACTATCATGACCCACGCAGCCAGAATCCCCGAGCCGAGCCAACCAACCGGCAGCGCTCCTGAAGTGAGCAACTAGAGAGGAACCCCGACCCCATCACTCTGCATTGCCGTCCACACACCTCTGACTGACCTGACTGCACTTGATCGGGACAATTCATTATACAATAAACATCATACATAAAGTAGGTTACGTGAGCATTGTTTATACATTTATTGATTACTTGACTTTCCTATTTCTGTCTTGCACAGACCTGCTACTTCAGATATTATTGATCTTATTACTAATCTATTATTGTGATTCATTTACAAAATTAAGGAGTCTTCACCTGCTGCTCAATAACTGCGGTCCCACATTCGGCTGAGCTACAGGGGGATACTGAATCACCAACCTTTCTTGACAACTGGAGAGACAGACAGACAGGAGAGACAAAAGAATAACATTCTAGATGGACTAATTAAGATAGACAGACAGGTGTTCAGACAGACAGGCACTCACACAGCGTCCATCCTCCACCAGTCGGTTCAGTCGAGTTTGGAAGTCCTCAAGTTTCTGGTCGTCCCAGGTGACTCCGCCCTCTCCCACAGGTGAGTCACTGTTCAGGAATATTAGCTCCGCCTCTAACAAGGACTCGTACACTACCCATAATGCTCGGTGGCACTGTAGGAAACCAATCAGAGGTCAGTTCAGAGGTTTTAGACAACATAAAAGCAGCTCTGTGATTGGCTGAGAGGCTCAGATGAGGTCAGAGGATTACCTGAGGGTGATTGGCTGACGCAGCGGGGAGGGCGGAGTCTGGAAATGAGATGTTGTTGTTGTACGGCAGGCAGTGGGCAGGAAAATCCCCCCCCTGCAGGACAGAGAGCAAACAGCTGATCAACAACTGACCTTAATGCTAAGCTACACATAGAAACAAACTGAACTAGCTAACATTGGCTAATGCTAAGCTACAGCAGCAGAGAGGTCGACAGAGTTCGCTAAAAGTTAGAGATCAAATAACTAAAACTGTTCAAAATGTATAAATGGTGGAAGAGTAACAGATAACTTAATAATAACAGCAATAATCAGAATAATCAATAACTCTACCAGCCCAGCAGAGTAATGACACTGAATGTCTGCTGCTGGACTTTATGGATCAATCTGATCAATCTGATCAATCTGATCACAACACTACAGCAAGGCAGACTTACAGGATGGTGAATTCTGACCTGAGAACAGCTGTCAGTATTGGGCTGGTGTCTTAAAAAAAAAAATGTATTACTCATTACTCTTTTAAAAAGTAATATTATTACTTTATGTATTACTCCATGCTAACAGTAATTAGTTACACTACTAGATATATTACTTTTCTACTTCTCTTCACGATTCAAATCCAGTTTTGTTTGTTAAAATCAAAGTAATGGAGTATTTAGTTTCCTCCATGATTACAACAATGAATCCAACGATGTGATTGATTGATGTTGGATTTCAAATCAGTAGAGGGAGACAACAAAAGTAATGTAACTAAGTATGTTTTGGAGGAGTAACTGTAATATTATTACTGACATGTATTAGTAATTAGTTACACTTCTTGTTACTGGGAAAAGTAATATTATTACTGTAATATTGTAACTAGTAATGATACACTGATACCTGTGTTTACCTGCATGTGTAAATGAAGAGGAACCAGCCAAAGCAACTGAAACATTTAAAGTGATGAAGAAGGTTAAAATGTGAGCTAAAGGTCAAAGGTCTTACCAGATCTCGGAGCACGTGGTGGAGCGACTGGACCAGGTCTCCCCGGAGCTGACAGGCTGGTTTGGAGACCACCATCAACTGGAGGCTGCAGACCTGCAGGAGGACCAGGAGGACTGAAGACAGCATCATGGTTCTGGTTCTGGTTCTGGTTTTGGTCCTTCAGGTGGTTCTTGGGGGCCTGAGAGAAGTGCTGGTGCTGGTCTTGGTTCTGGTCTGAGCAGGACTGAGATGCTTCAGGTGCGCTGTGTGAGTTCAGGAAACCTGGAACAGAGAGCATCAGCCAATCAGAGGCCGTCTACCTGAGTGAGTCATAAAACCACAGCGGCAGAGACCTGGACCAGGACCAGGACCTCCGGCAGGTGAGTCACTGCAGGTTCAGGCAGGTCCACAATCCTCCCAGAGCGGGATTATAGATTAATGATTGATTTATTTATAGATCAAATAGGAACTTCAGTCACAGCTGGAGGATGTTGATCTGATGATCACTTTATCATTCAATCAATAAATGAGCAATAACTAATGCTAATGCTAATGCTACACTCTGATCATTTGAATATAATAATGTTTGTACACAGTGCTTCCGTAGAGATTCCAACAGTATTTAATCTGTGTTACAGTTCAAAGGCAGAAGATAAAATGCATGCATTCACTGACTGAATGTTGGAAGTGAAAAAGTTAAGTTTTATTTCAGGGCCAACAAATAGTCAGAGTGACACTCGAACACAACACAGTCAGAGCGACACTCGAACACAACACAGTCAGAGCAGGAGGACGTTTGAGTCAGCAGATTCCCGACCGGGACTCCGGGTTGTTCGTACGCATTCGTCAGCGTTTCTATTAGTCGACTCTCTGACGAATGTTTCCTTCGATGCTTCTGACCTCTGCGGACGAGGAAACTCCACACGTGGAAATCTGGCTACGATATTCTGACGAACGCTGTCGTCATCAGGCTTCAATGTAAGTTTTACTGTGAGTGGAACATAAAACTCCTTTTGGAGATATAGAATATCATAAATCATAATTTCAGCTTCAGACAGAAATTCAATCATGTTCCAGGGTTCAATAGGTTACTTTGAAGACCCTTTAAGACTCTTTAAGACCTTTAAGACCTTTTAAGACTTAATGTTACGTCCGCACTGATAAACAGAAACATAGGAAACAAAGGAAACGATGAAACTCAGTTTTGGTTCCATGTTGGTTTTTTGTTTGCAGCAGCACGATCAATACAAGCAGTTTAAGACGTTTTAAGACAGTTTAAGACGTTTTAAGACATTTCAATACGTTTTAAGACATTTTAAGACATTTTAAGACATTTTAGGACGTTGATGTGATGATGATGATGATGACGATGATGATGAAGTATTCAGAGCTCTGTTAGCTACAGAGGATGTTACTACAGTAAAAGTATTATAGAGTCAACTCTGGTTATAAAACTGTACATATTTATAAACAATAATATTACATTATTATAACGTTTATATAAATAATAATTATATATTACTACGATATTATAACGTTTATAGAAATAATCATTATATATTATTATTATTTTCAACTGAAGCTAATGATTATTTACATTCTGGATCCATCTGCTGATTATTGATCCACTGATTGATTGCTTTGTAAAGCTCCAAATTATTATTATTATCATTATTAATATTATTATTGTTATTATAACCAATCTATCATTCAATCTGAAATCAACCACTGATTTTCTGTCAATGCACTGATTGATTAGTGCACTGATTGATTAATGGACTGACTGATTAATGGACTGACTGATTAATGGACTGATGGTTCTTGTAGTTTCGTTGATAAACAAACATCATATTTAATTAAAGTTGATGTTTGTGTGTCAGTGAATCTGTAGGAGATTATTGATTCATATTAAAACAATATTAAACAGTTTAAACTGTATTATCGATGTCTGAATCACAAACAACAACAACAACAACAGATAAATAAATGAACTCACTATGTGTCTGCTGGGGGTCCTGGAGGTCCTGCAGGTCCTGGTCTTTGTCGGTCTGGTTCTCCTTCTGGCTGGTGGTTGTTGTGGTTCTGATGAGCGGCTCTGGCTTAAATAAAGCTTCATCCTGGATGTGCAGAAAATGAAACTGTGATGTCTTCAAGTCAAATTCAAAGAAAAATTTCGAAGAAAATTGGAAAATTCCCTTTTCAACCACCAACCCTCACCTCCCTCAACCCCTCACCCCCCTCACCCCTCCCCTCACCCGCAGGGCGCTGGGCTGCGTGAGAAGCGTTTCACAATGACTCAAAACAACAAAGTCAAATAGATTTATTGCAAAATACTATATATGGCCGAAAGTATGTGGACACATGAATGTGGCAGTTACATGCATCCATATGGAGTTAGTCCCAAACCGTGTCCACATACTTTTGGCCATATAGTGTAGTTTGAATTGACTATATGTGGACACCTGATTTAAATACTCCACACACTCTTTATTTTAAAACTAAACCTCTTACACTCAGAAACCTTTAACAAACATATTACTTCAGACTTTTAGTTTAAGGTGGAATTAAGGATTTTAGGTTGAATGGATTAGAGACAAATGAAAGGAATCACAGATCATTCAAGCTTAATTTTTTAATGATTCTGTGAATAGGCACACATTCATTGATTATTGGTTTGGTTTAAGGGATAAAAACACTGATGTCAGCCATTTAAGGTAACAATGAAGGGATGACTTTTATTTAATTTGGTCAGTTATTTATTCAGTAAGTGTGCCTTTATTGAATCCCACTGCATAAATCACCATTAATGTGCATTTTAAAGAACATGTTCACACAGTTGTAAAGAGATCATTGATGGATTAATAGCACTATATGAAATTGCTGTTGAAGTAACCTGTTGAGTCACTAATGGAAACTCAGTATTAACGCTGCCTTTATTTTAAACTCTGCAGCCGAGCAGATTTTGGCCACAGTGTGTATTAAGTTCCATTTTATATCTTTATGTTTTCTGTATGAATAAAACCCATCTGTGTCGTCACAGACTCAGACTCATTCAGGATGCGGTTTAACCCCCGAAGTCTTCAGTTTACATTTACAGAGAAGGTTCAACAGGACAGAAGAGGAAGCGGAGCCTCAGTTTACATTTAGACAGAAAAGAAAGACGGATCAGACAACAGGAAGGAAACATGAAACCCTCTGAGGTTTTCTCTACAACCTCAGTTTCAGCTGCGTTTGTGCCGAAATGAGCTGAGACAGAAGGAAAGTCCTCCTCATTCACTCCTCATTCAGTTTCCACTTCACTTCATCAGCTTGAAGGAAAAACGATGACTCCAAATTGTACAGATTCAGCTCAGTTTAAAGCCGTTATTTTCCACCGTTACAAAAGTATGAACTTTATATCAGTTAATGTCATTTATTCACTGTATTAAATATAAAACATGAACTTTATATCAGTTAATGTCATTTATTCACTGTATTAAATATAAAACATGAACTTTATATCA